AAATCTGGAATGAATCCAGAGTGGAACACTTTCGTATGCCTGCATTTAGACCAAATACGTACATGTACATGCGTACACATTGGGTACATGGTACGCATTGTATCGGTATACTGGTACATGTGCGTGTGTTTCAGGAGCTTTTATTTTATCATGCGATCTCGAGGGCCAAGCACAGACGTTTCACCGTCAAACCAATCTACTCGGGGCCAATCTGATGCACAGAAGATCATTACTCTCCGATTTGCAGGAAATCGCTTCGAGAAAGAAAGAGGAAAAAGAAGGGGCTACTGGGATCTGATCAAAGGCTGAGGCCGGGAGAACGAGGACAGAGTTCCATGAGCAATTGAGTCCTGTCCGCGAGCCAGATGAAGGGGAAAAGGGTCTCAAGGAGGTGTGCCAGGCTTTGAATAATTGCTGAGGGTAGAAAATGGAATTCAGGGAAATGCAGAGTGAATTCTTTCAGAAGCTGTGCAGTGTTACCAATGGCGCTTCAGCTGTGGTTCATTTATTCCTTTGAAAATGTGGCTAAGTGGACAAAAGTGGCTACTCTGGGTATTCCCTTGGCTTCATTAACTTTTTTTTCTTAATTAGAGCCTGAGTACTTTCAAGAGAAAGTATTCATTTGGGCTGGAAAACGCATACATGTAGATCTATACCTGTACCATGAAATTATAATAGTCTGAAAGATCGTTCACACAACTACATGTACATGTATGTACATGTACACCATACCACACCATACAAGTACACCATGGACATTTGCCATTTTTGTGTAATTACCGCGCAAAGGAATTTCTGGGTAATATTTGCTCCTCAAAAATTGAGTTGTTGTCATTTCATTCTCGCATCTTTTTCTTCAAATGTTCGTCAAACATGCGTTCTTGGATGTAATTCTGAAGCTAGCATGGGACCTGATATCTCACACTGAATCTCAGTTGTTGACAGTCTGGTTCAAAATTTGACACTTGAAATATGTGCTAACCCTCACATGCAAAGTACATTCTATGCCAAATAGTCAAACTCAAACAAGTGACTGTTTTCAACAGTTATAAGAATTCCAAGCCTAAAAGCAGGATTGATTGGCTGGGACTGTTTAAGTACATGTAACTTGATAAAGCTATGCTTTGACTCCGGTTGAGTGATTAACAGCTGTGGCCAGTGAACACAACTTGCCTGCTTTGTCTGTTGACCCAGTTTGACTAGTCACAGTGCTTGCTTGACATATGTATGATATGACTGTTGGTGACTAGCCTTTGTTAAAAGTATAGTGCTCAGGGGAAGTGGAAGACGAAGTGAGTTTTGACTGTCTGTGACTGCTTAAATAGCCGGAGGGTTAACATGAGCCCCAACTTTTACTTTCTTCAGAAAACTGGATGTGAAATATTGGAAGAGTGGTTCTAGACACTCTCTCGAAAAGTGAAAACAGCATATGATTTGCGATTTTTATGACTTGGTACATTGTACGTGTCATTTTTGAAGAAGTGTATTGGAGGAATTGGGATGTGATTTTGAACATCTTATTGTTGAAATTCACATCCTCTTAAAGGCACATTTGGACGTTTGCAATACCCAGAAATACACTGTACATGCGCTGATTTAACAAGAAAATCCTTTCTCAAAGTGATGACAGGGGCCATATTCACAAAACGACTGAAGTCCTGAAAAGAGTAAGCACCGCACTTAATTATGGACTTAGACAAGTCTTACAATTTTTCTTAAAAAACCAAAAAAAAAAACCCCAAAAAACAATCTTAACCCTAAAAGGGCATGGGGGTGCCCCCCCCCCCCTCTCAACTTTTTCCGCGATAGCCGTACAATTTTTTTTTCGTGACCCGAGCTGTTTTGACTTTTTAGCCTCAAGCCTTGCGCATCTTTTGATACCAAAAACATAAAAATTGGCGTGTAGGGAAATTTTTTTCGTCGCCACGCGCCGTGAAAACTGATTTTTCCCATACGTCATGTACACAGAGCACAATTAGCCTACCATTCCTACATATGAATAATTAATTAGCCATAATTCCAAAACCCTTTGACCTATAGGCATGAAATTTCTTGGATATGTTCATGATGAGTTGCTCTATGCATGTATTGAGTTTTAACATTTTTCGTCGCTCGATGGCCGAAATCTGCCAAGATCCCCCCCCCCCCCCTCCGGCTGAGAGATGGTCAAAATAACCCGGCCTGATTAGGGGTCAAGCCCCTATTTTCCACGGCTTTCTCTGGAGCATACTGCTCAAACTTTTTTTTTTAACAAATCTTAACACTGAGAGTTTGTCCAAAACGGACGGTTTCTTTGGAGGTTTACATTGGGAAAGACTGCGAATTCCAGTGAATGCAGAGCACAAAGCGACGCCACTTGGCATTTTGCGATGTTTTTATTTTCAGTTTCAGTCACCAGCACAAGTTGCCGCCGAGTTTATACACAGTAAAAGCAGAAATGGGAGATTTATTTTGACAATAATCTGACGCAGTTCTGATATTTTTGATTTCATTCCTCAGTATCGAAGATTTCAATATTTCGATGATTAAACAATTGCTATGGGCGATATCAATATTAAAATAATATCGAACTAGATTCGCGTTTGGTGAGTTACAAACGCAGAGTGGTTGGGCTCGCATCTATTTCATATGTCATAAACTTTGCCACAGTAATCAACTGAAAATTCATGCTAAACATTTTTCAACCTGCCACTAGAGTGTGCTCTAACATTTCATGACGTCGCCAGTCATTTGCTTTGGTAAAGTACAACCTAGTCAGAGACTAACATCATTGAAAGCAAGTTCACATCTTTTTCCACTTTCAAATTATAAGGCACTTCTGGTTTGGACCGGAAGGAAGGGTCACATAATACTGCACATAATATACAAAAATTGAAGACCCTGGATTATTCTATCAATTCCTGTAAAAAGCAAAATCAGATCTCTCACAGTTGATTTTATATTGATTTTCAAAGATTAAATCTAGAAATCTTTGGTTGCTTATAATCTGATACTTGATGACGTCATTGTGACGTAATTACCAGAAAGCTTGAGAGCTCTGTTAACTGTGCTATTTGAATCAAAAATCTGGACTACCGGGTATATTGTTCGCAGTTGATTTTTCAGCAATTTTTTCAAGGTTTAAAGGTATTTTCATAGTAACTTCCAGTCTGGTGACGTCATCAATCTTTCTTCCCCTCAACTTGTTCTTAGCATGAAGCTCATTTATATATGCATCAATTTCAGCAAACTTCGCCACACACATCAAATGATTATTCATTTTAAATATTTAAGCCAAGTTCAGGTCTCTCGAGGCTGATTTTAAATTGATTTTCAAAGATTAAATTATCTCGAAATCTTTAAATTATATCTCGTATGAGCTTTTTGAAAAAATGAAGGAGGCGGGTATAACCGTGAAAAATGACACACTTGGGGGAACTCGCACAAACTAAGACTCTATGGGAATTTACTAACAAAACTAAACTAACCTCAGGATCTTTGAAGGGAACTGTCACGAGGAAATTGAATTAATAGAGACCAGAGACCAATTCTAGATTTCAAACCCAAAAAAGACCAAAAAGAATTTATTTACAACCACCTTAAACCGAGAAATTGAGACTTGAACCCTAAAACCTGAAACCAAAGACTTAAACATAAAAACCAACACAGTGTGTATACTGGATCTTTAGAAAATACACTTTGGCAAAAATCAATGACTGGACTAGCAGACAAAAGAAACAGCTAGGAAGACACTCTCCATGTAGGAGGAACATAAATGACTATAATTTTAACTTGTCTCTCTGCTGGTCAGCTGAACTAAAACTCAATGTGGCATGACCATGTGGCAGCTTTATGGGGGGGGGCACTGGTGGGCTAAAATAATAAACAGGGGATGCACTACCAGGAAAGGGGGGTGGGATCTTAAGTACAACCAAAATGATTTTCTTTTCTAAGGGGAGCTACTCCTATTTAATACACTATAAAAAATACACAAGTAAAACTTGGCCCTGCCACACAGGCTCTTTCCTTTGTTTCTACCCAAGACGGCGGATTTTTCAAGAAGACGGATGGGTTCTTCCACTTTCTGGACTCTTTTGCTGATACAAAATTGCATCCCAAGAAGCCGTAAACCTTTCTACAAAGCTACGATTTTGTTGGAAACAAAAAAATGTCACTGGGCCTGCATTGACAATGTGCAAAATTTATTGCAAATGTAGGCCCTATGAATTAAAAAATAAACAAAAATTAGGTGGGCAGGTAAAAAAGGAAACAGGCAGGGTGAGAAACTGGTTTCTTTCTTTTTTTACTTGGCTTTATAAATCAAGTGAAAACACTTTGAAACATAAAAAATAATTTACAAAAATCACCTCACATGCAGTCACTGAATTAAAGTTACTTTACATTTCAAATTATTGCCAATATTGGTCATGTTGGTGGGTTGAAAATAATTCTGTTCTCAAGGGACAGGCTGCTTTCTACCCCACAATCAGTATCAATATTGATAATAATATAATATGGACCAGTTTCTGAGTTGTTCGCAAGGCAGATCTATGTGCCCAAAGTAAAACCATGAAAAAATCTTCTTTTTTTCAGAGGGTTGCAGACACCCCCCCCCCCCAAAAAAAAAATGGGGGGGGGATGCTTTTTGTTTGGAATAAAATACATATCATGACATACAAATTTAAACTTTATTTAAGAGAAAAAAACTCGCATTTGATGATGAGCATGGGAATGCGCAATTGATTAGGCCCCTACATTAAAATATATTGTGAACCACAACACAACTCGATGATGTATGCCATTTTTTGTACACGTACGGCTAGTACGCGTAGATTTGTGTGCACGCATGTACCCAATGCGTGCGGCCTGTCAAAGGTCCTGTCAACTGTCAACAAGACTGCTCCGCGAATTGTTGTCGTTCCACGGCACAATAATTCACCTTTACCGACAACATGTACCTCCTACTTTTCCCCTACATCCGAGTAAATGTTCCACACTATACCAATAAACACGAAACATACCTCATTTGTTCTTTTATTCGACGGTTCCTCATCAGCACTTGTCCCGAGTCTGAGTTGTACATGCCGCCCACATTCCGTCCATTTTGTAATATGCCACGCATGTGACATGCATGCTACGTACGTGTTCCGCGCCGCTGCCGCGCCCGACGTCTTCTGACGGAAACCAACGCACACATTCCGCGAAAAAAGTAATTTCTTTGAGGCGGGTTACCAGCGAAGTGAAGACTTCATCACTTTCATCATCAAGTAATTATCTCAGGGAGAACTCACGAAAGCTGTGTCTACGAGTAGCGATGGCATGCACTAGCCACGGGGTGATAGGGGTGGGGCAACTTTCAAACCCTTACAAAAAATACAACCACGAAAGCATTATATTCTTCAGTATTAATATTTTCATCAAATTCACAAACCTTATGCGGAATCTTAGCTGGTCCAGCGTATAAGATGCACAGTGAAGACGATACCGGTGCTTGACACAAGTGACCAACCCTTTCTTCCCAATTTCAAATATTTTTTTTTCATTGTTGATCTCATTAGCTTCTTGAGTGATGTGTGAGATGCAGGGGTCTATGTGTGAATTCCATAGAGCTATAGTAATTTAATATAGCTCTATGGTGATTTCCCAATTGGCTGAAAGTTTGATCATGAATATTCAATAGTAGCAGGCGGGAAATACTTGGTGTCTTTGTTACGTGCCATGCTGACTCCTTTGGAAATCGTTGATGTGTGGAATTATTTCGTGGACTGGCCCACTGAATTCTCAACGTGCTTCAGCCTTGTTTGTTTTTTCTTGTTTAAAATAAATGTGCCGATACTGTATATATACATACATGTAGAGCGAAGATTGTCCATTCAGTGACACCTCGACGTCACGTGATGCCAGTGGCGCTCCCAGGATTTGGTTTGGGGGAGGGGGGGGGGGGGGGGGGCTCAATTTGTTTTCTTAAAAAAATGTTGCCCAAAATTTTTGGCCGCAGAAAAAATTGGAGTTTTTGGGGGGGGGGGGGGCCGGACTATTTTGACGTTGGTGGCGCCACTTACACTACTCGAAAATAGGCCACATACATAATCACCAAGGTCAAATCGTGGGACTAAAAACAAAATTACGCGCCCAGGATTTGGTTTTGGGGAGGGGGGGGGGGGGGGGCTCAGGGTTTTTTCAAAAAAAGGTTGCCCAAAATTTTTGGCGGCAGAAAAAAATTGGAGTTTTTTGGGGGGCGGACGTCTTTGACGTTGGTGGCGCCACTTACACCCCTATTATACTACTCGAAAATAGGCCACAGACATAATCACCAAGGTAAAAACGTGGGACTAAAAAAAAAATTAAGAAAAAGAAATTAACAACCTCGGGGGGGGGGGGGATCAAGCCCCCCCCCCCCCAGGTGCCCCCCCCCCCCACAGTGCGCCACTGTGTCATGCATGCACTTACCGTCTGATTGAGAATCACGTCCGACGGAGACGACAGAGAGCGCCATGAAATGAAACGACAACTTTTGAATCGGAAGCGCTAGCAACGGAATCCACTAACGAGACCCTAAAACTGTGCTGAGGTTTTCTATGTTTTCTCAAAATGTATGAAATAGGTCCCTATCTCCTCTGAGCTGAACTTAAACAGGTTAGTTGTTATTCACCCTACTAAAGATTGTAGCGATTCTGTTGCAAAGCCCCCCCCCCCTCCCTCTGGGAAAAATCTGGGATCCGCCATTGATCCTCACGTTAAAATGAAGCGTTAGACACGCGTTATCCAGCAGCTTATAAGCGTTTGCTATTTTCTGGGTTTGCAACATTGCTAAAGTCGCTAGCATCATGACTTTGGCGTGACATGCCCTGGCTACATGGCATATACAGGTTTATGGCTTCTGACTATAGCGCCCCTTTGAATAAAGACGTTGACAAAATGGGGAACCGCCAACATAACATGTTGGCGGTTCCCCATTTTGTCATATAGGGCTGGATAGCTCTGTTGGTAGAGCACGGGAACGGCACTCCGGAGGTCGCGGTTGAAACCTCGCTTCAATCAAAAAGAGAACCAATAATGGCACCGGGGGAACAACTTCAGGAAAGACTACAAAAAACCCCAACACTTCTCATTAAATATCCAATCAGGATCAGCTAATTTAGCCTTTACCAATAACACCTGCCGATTATGTCTGGCCAGCGCCATCTTTCTGGGACCCGCCCATAGCATATAGCTTATCACAGATGCTGCATATATAAAGAACATGAAAACTACTAACCCCAGTAAACCCAAATGGCCAGCACTGTAACTTAGCGCTATTTTCAGATTATACTTGGAGTGGATCATGTGGTTTTTTTTATGAACATTGCCGCATGACCTTTGTCAGAAATAATGTTCTCCATAAGAAATGAATTTCTAGGATGCGTTTCACTCCGAAAACAAGATTAACTTGGGGTGTGATGATGTAGTCTCCCGTCGAATCGATGAGTATGGGCAGGCAGGTGTTATCTGCGATGGGTCTTCATACGGGAGAGGGGTCCGATACGCGGGGCACATTGGCTCCCAAAGATGCTACATGGCAAAGACTCGCCCGATGTTGACCCGTACTTTCTTCTCTCTCTTCTCTCCACGATCGCTGCTGCTTTCTTCTGCTCAAACACCTTTGTGCCATTTGCACAGACTTATACGGTGCAAAGTGTCCTTAAAGACTGAGGGATTTGGCAAAAGTTTACATGTACATGTATATAGAAATATAATATGCCGTTAAGTGGATAAAGAACAGGGCTTTTACACTTTCATGCTTTAAATTTAAAAGAGGACAATTTTGTCCGATTTTCTTGGATTCAACAGGTTTCACAATAATATACGACTTTTCCCGTTCAATTTAAAAACATTATCACCCAAATAAGCTTATTTATTTTAGCGCCAATTTGAGTGCAGTTTATAAAGAGAGCTTTAAATTGAGTGGTTCGAGCGCGCGTGATCGGAAAATATGGCAATCAAATTTAAAAGTATAAACGCTCATTCAAATTGAAATAACCAGCGAAGAGCATTCAAATTCGCTCAAGCCATCGGCCAAGAACATACTGAATTCAACTGAATAATGGGCAAACACATTCGACATTATTGGCATTTGAATTCAACTACACCACTTACACCATTTTGGAGAAAATCACAGAAAATTGAAAAAAGGTATTTATAATTCCAAGAAGATACATACATTTTATTTATTTATTTATTTGTTTATGTTTATATATCGTGTATGTTTAGGCCTAAGATCCATTTTATTAATTGATGTGAATTTTAACGAATAGTTTTTATGAGTGTAGTTAAGTGTAATATAGGTTTTCCCGGCTTTTTTTTAAACATTTTTCATTCAAATTCACCTCTGACATTCAATTTCGTCCGAGAAAAAAATCACAGGCTTTTACCAAACTCAATTTAGTCATCTTACCATTCAATTTCAAAGTTTGGTCACCCTCTTTAGTCATCGTGTCGAGAATATTCGTCATTACAGATCCAATTCGTCCAGGCTGTTGTGGAATGGCAGCACTCAGACATCAAATTCGTTTTTTTATCAATCAATTTAAAACTTGTATAAAGTAAATTATAGTCAGGTGTGTTCAAGAGAATTTTCCTTGTGTCCCCAAGCACAATTTGGCACATTCGCTGGCATGATTTCTCGGACCAAAGCAGAGTACTGATCTCAAAGAAGAGTTACCAAAAAAGTAAAGATTACCAAGATCAACAATACAACGTTATTTAAAATAAACAAAAGAAAAGAAAAAGTCTTACAATGAAAAAAAGGAAATTTCAAAAGCCATGAATCGATAACCCATAAATCCCCGTCCAATATGCATAAAATATTGAGTCTAACATATTTTAAAAAGATAAAATCAAAAGAAATGATACATTTATGAAGAAATAAGGAATTAAAAAAGTAAAGACTTATTTGTAATAGAGGTCTATATGCCTTTGAAGGTATCGCTATGAAGTATGACGAAATTGAACAAAATTATGTTTCAATTGTGTGGCATTAGACGAATTTGATTTCTCAATAACACGATTCGGCGTATACACGAGACGAAATCGGATACTCCTGGTCGAAAACGTGTGCTCATTGATTGAATTTGTTTGGACTAAATTTGACATTGTTTGACAAAAGACGAAATTAAACATTGGAAGTGCACTTAATCGATGTTGCCGGACTAATTTGAATATTAGCATCGGTGAATTCGAACGAAAAATGTTTTAAAATACCCGGGAAAACATGTAAAATAATATCAATAAAAAAGTATGGATAAATAAATTTAGGTTTTCCCGGCCAATTTCACCAAGTTTTCATTCAATTTAGAATGAAATTGAAAGATTACGAAGATCGGCATTCGACAATAAAAATAATCATTCAATTTCACTATCCGAGCATATCGTCTTTTCGTTTCACTCAAATCAAAAGTATCGTATTGTTCACTCAATTTCGTCTGAACCAGCGGCAAGGGGTTGATCAGGCATTCATTTTCATTAATCGGAAAAAAAAATATCACATTTTTGTCAAGCATCTTTTAAGACTCTCTGCATGTCCGTATTCCTATAAACTTCTGAATTATTTCAGCGTATATCATATCTAATGTCTTCAACCCGTAGATGCATACCTCTCTTTCTTAAGTGTTCAAACAGACAGGAGGAGGAATGAACCTACAGGAGTGGACATGTGATCGTCTGATGGAAGTGGCCCATTACATGAAAATATTGGAGAAATTACCCAAAAGAGGTGTTCCCGATTGTAAAACATTACCAAACATACTTGCCCCGATGTCTTGCACGTCAAGAGATCGATGGGTGAATCAGTGAATATAAAAAAAACAGAGCGAAAAAGAACAGTAAACAAAGTTATAAAGATTAATAAAAATGTCAACATAAAGATGCCCCTGATAGATTTGTTCAAACTTGTAATCAAGCAGAAAAGATTAACACTTAACAAAGACAATTCCTTAGCCCGTTTCATTTCATTATTTCGTTACATCATCTGTCCCTCACATCAGTTATTTGCCACTATACATTTTACAATGTCAAAGATTTTGGAAAAAATGAATCTCGTAGGAAAATATGAAAATATATATCAATTATTTTTTTTAAATTAATTTGAATAGCCAAACGATGGAAATGATTGCCCA